CTCTCTCTCTCTCTCTCTCTCTCTCTCTCTCTCTCTCTCTCTCTCTCCGCAGTGGGCGAGTGCGAGGCGTCGGCCATGTTGCCCCTGGAGTGCCAGTACCTGAACAAGAGCGCGCTGACCACTCTGGTGGGACCTCTCACACCTCCGGTCAAACATTTCCAGCTCAAGAGGAAACCCAAGAGCGCCACGCTCAGAGCAGAGCTGCTACAGAAATGTGAGTTCCTGTCCGATTCAGCTGGGAAACGCAGCCTTTGGATGCCGGTTTGACCTATTAAACCAGTTTTTGGTGCTTCCTGGTTTGGGCCACTAAGCCTGAGACGCGCCAGTCAGAATCGATAGGAGTGATTAATATTTCTTCTAATTGTTTAAATGCAATCAGACTCAGTATGTGTCACTAAATCAGAATCAGAAATACTTTAATAATCGCAGAGGGAAATTATTTTTGTTAATAACTCCAGAAATAAAACAACAGCACATACATATATACATGTCATATATATATATATATATATATATATATATATATATAGACACACAATTCAACAGAGAATATAAATAAATATATTCATAATATATATATTCATAATATATATATATATATATATATAGGTGTAAAATAAGTGATAGTGATAATGTCAATAATTTAGTTAGAATTATCTTTTTTTAACTGCTTTATTTTAATTAAGTTCCTCTTTTGTGGTCTCTGTGTTTAGAAACAGGTCAGATGAATATTTTGGGGTTGTTTTTGCTCATGTGAGTTACAGCTCTGTGGAGTTTCTCTTCATACTGAACGAGTCATCCAGGAGCTGTAAACACAAACGGCTGCTTTAAGCTCTAAACTCCGCCCCTTTTTCCCCTCTTTTTCGTGCCGTTTTCCCTCCTTTGACCCCCTTTTCTCCGCGGCTCCAGCCACAGAAACGGCCCAGCAGCTGAAAAAGACGGCCGGGGTGCCTTTCCACGCCAAAGGGAGGGGGCTGGTGAAGAAGATCGACACCACCAGTGAGTCTGATAGTTAACAGGACGGAGAACTAAGATCAGTCATGTTAGCTGGTCCTCTGCTGAGCTGTAAATCCAGCAGCCTGTGACCATTAGAGTTAACTCATTTTATCCTGGTTCATGTTTTTTTTAACTGGCCCCACTCAAACCGAGCTGTGTCAGAGATCCAGGCTTCATTTGTTTATGTTTATGCATTTAGACGCTTTTATCCAAATCCACTTGGATATTATATTATAAGTTTTCTGGAGGAAAATCCCCAGTCAGAGTCAGTGGAGACCAGAGATGTTCAGTAACTAAGTAGAACTACTTAAGTACTGTACTTAAGTACCAAAATGCAGTATCTGTACTTTATTGGAGTATATATTTTTTGCCCTATTCCTACTTTTACTCAACCACTTTTTTTTAATTAGTTTAATACTTTTACTTTTACTTTCATGGGCTGAATTGTTACTGGTTACTGATATGTAAACGTAATAAATAGTCAGAGCCAGAACTGTAGATAGCTCTGTCAGAGTTTGGGAAGCTGGCTCCTCATTGGACGATTTAAGCCATCGAACAGCTTCCCAAAAGATTGCAAAATTGTATGTACTCTCAATACTTGAGTATCAATTTTTTTAAATACTTCTACTAGCAATACTTAAGTAAAAAAAAAAAATGGAGTACTTCTGTACTTCCACTTAAGTATGGAGTTGAAACAACCCCTCAACTTTTACTCAAGTAAATTTTTTTATATAGTACTTGTACTTCTACTCCAGTACTTCATACATCTCTGGAGGAGACTAGGGATGTCCCGATCGGACTTAAAAAAAAAACTGGATCTTGAGTCTGGATCTGCTTTTTCTCCTGCTGGCCGATACAAAGTTTTTTTTTGCGAAAATCGGCGGCTGATCCGATCCAGATATCGGATCGGGACCGGCCTAGTGGAGACAGGAGGAGATGGAGGGAAGCACAGAAAGAGGAGTAGAGGGTCCAGAGGTCTGGGGGAGTCTGGATAGTAAAGATTCTCTGGTTTCTGCTGGTAACGTCCGTGTGTCTGCCCTCAGCTCCTCTGAAGGGGATCCCCAAGGCCCCGTTCCGGAGCCCCACCACGCCCAGCATGTTCAGCCCCCCCAGCAACCGCACGCCCATCGCCCCCGCCCGCACGCCGCTCAGGAAGGAGAGGGGGGTCAAGGTTAGTGCGCCCGCCCCTCGCCGTTTCTAACGCCGTTTCTAACGCCGTCTCTAAGGCCGTTTCTAACGTTGTGTTCTGTTTCAGCTGCTGGACATCTCTGAGCTGGACGCGGTGGGACTGGGCCGGGAGGCCAAAAGGAGGAGGAAGACTCTGGGTACGGGGGGAAGGGGGGCCTGTCTGTTGTTTGTATCGTCTGTTTTTTGTGTATTTTGTGTTGTTGTTTGTGTTGTCTGTGTTGTTTGTGTTGGTTGTGTTGTTTGTGTTGTCTGTGTATTTTGTGTTTGTATTTCGTGCTGTTTGTGTTTGTGTCATCTCTTTTTTGTTTTGTCTCTTGTTTGTGTTTGTTTTTTGTGGTGTTGGTGTTGTCTGTGCAGCAGCACAACTCTGAGTTGTTTTTGTTGTTTGTGTCGTCTGTTTTTTGTTTGTTTTTTTGTGGTGTTTGTATTGTTTGTGTTGCTTGTTTTTTTGCTGTTTGTGTTGTCTGTGCAGCAACACAACTCTGAGTTGTTTGTGTTGTTTTTGTTGTTTGTGTCGTCTGTTTTTTGTGTTTTTTTTTGTGCTGTTTGTATTGTTTGTGTTGCTTGTTTTTTGTGCTGTTTGTGTTGTCTGTGTATGATGTGTTGTTTGTGTACTTTGTGTTGCCTGCGTTGTTTGTGTTGGTTGTGTTGTATTTTTTGTTGGTCATGCTGTTTATGTATTTTGTGCTGTAGTTTGTGTATTTTGAACCCGCTGTTCTTCTCCAGAAACAGAAGCTGGTGAGAAAGCGGCCAAAGAGGAGGCGGTGGTGGAAAACCCCACGCCGGACTACGCCGCCGGCCTCGTCTCTGCTCAGGTTCCTGCTTTAGCCTCTTAGCCCCGCCCCCCTACACACACACACACACACACACACACACACACACACACACACAAACCCAACCTCCCGTCTCCGTGGTAACCGGCCCTCTCTCTCTCTCTCTGCTCAAGTTACTGCTTTAGCCTCTTAGCCCCGCCCCTCTCGCCCCCCCTACACACACACACACACACAACCTCCCGTCTCCGTGGTAACCGGCCCTCTCTCTCTCTCCGCTCCTCAGAAACTGGGGGCGCTTAACGAGAACCCCCTGCCGTCGACCAGCTACCTGCCGGCCACGCCCAGCATGGTGCCCTCCTCCTCCTACATTCCCAGCTCCGAAGCGCAGCCAGGTGGGTAACCGGGCGCCAAACGCCACCAACCGGGCGCCCGGTGGGCGTAGGGTTGTCACGATACTAACATTTTCAACTCGATACCGATACTCAGGAAAATACTCAATACTATTTTCAATACCACAAGGATAAAGACAAAGACCCCAAAATTTTACTGAATTTTGACAGGTTAGTGTCTTTCATTTCAAACTGACCAGTTACTGATGTTATTGTGACTGGTGGCCCGCATTAATAACCCTAAACCTATCCCTGACCCTAAACCTGACCCAAACCCATAAATCTAACCCTAACCTTAAACCTAACCCTGACCCTAAATCTAACCCTAACCCTGAACCTAACCCTGACCCAAATCCTAACCCTGATCCTAAACCTAACCCTAATCCTGACCCTAACCCTAATCTTGACCCTAACCTTAACCCTAAACCTAACCCAAACCCTAACCCTGACCCAAATCCTAACCCTGAAATGGGTTAGGATCCACTATTTTAACATAATATTTTGGATAGAGTTTAATTAAGTGTTCGAAAGATTAATCTCACTATTTTTAGATATGCCGCGTGCTAACCCCTGCCCTGTGTCCCCCTCAGCTAACGCGGGGGGGTCGGGTCGGGACGCGGCCGCCCGGCAGCCGGAGGAGTCGGCCTCGGCGGGCGCCGCCTCCTCGCTGCCGGCCGGCGCCTACAAGCAGCGAACGACCGCCATGTACAACGCCAACGCCGCCAATAACCCCAACCCCAACCCCAACCCCGCCACGCCCGCCTCCCCCAGTACGCCCGCCTCCACGCCGGCCAGTAACGGCCCCCCCGCCGCCACCACGGCGGGCCAGCCCGAGGCCCCCGCCCCCCCGCCCGGCACGCCGCAGACGCCCACGCCGGTCGCCACGGCGCCCACGCCCGCGCCGCCACAGCCCAAGAAGAACCTGTCGCTCACGGTAGGATGGTGCTTATCGAATAGAGTGGGGGGGGGGGGGTGTTACCTGGGGTGGGTGTGTGACCCCGGGGGACAGGATTTTTTTACTTGGCTGTAGTATTAAGTGTAGTTATAGTAGTATAAAGTGTAGATACAGTGGGGGAAATAAGTATTTGACCCCTTGCTGATTTTGCAGGTTTGCCCACTTACAAAGAATGC